AAATATTAGGTTGTCATGTATACATGAGCCATTCTCTAAACTCTCTGTTCAGTTTCATTAGTCTACATGTTCTGAAAATACCATATGGTTTTATTTCTATAGCTTTGTATTATTAATATTTGATGAGGTGTTTCTCTCCTTTTTATTTTAGACGTGTAGATTTTTATTCCCTCACTTAAATTTTAAAATGAGTTTGCTAAGTTTCTCAAAAATATTTTTTTAAAGAAGATTGTTCTGAACACATAAATTTGAGGATGGCCACACATAGTGGCCCACATCTATAATCCTAGCACGGTGGGATGCCCTGGCAGGAGGATTGCTTGAGCCTAGGAATTTGAGACCAGCCTGGGCAACATAGTGAGACCCCCATCTCTAAAAAATATATATATATAATATGATAAAACAAAATCAATTTGAGGAGAACTGATCACTTTATAGCATCACTCAATTCAAGATCATGAAATATCTTTCCATGGTTTTAATTCACTTTCTATGTCTTTGAGTATTAAAATTTTCTCCATAGGGTTTTTATGTGTTCTTAAGATATTTCTAGATATTTTATGGGATTTGCTGCTATTGTGAATGATATCATCTCTTTATTTTCTACTAGGCTATTGCTTACATAAAGAACTACTGTGGATTTTATAGGAGAGTCAGAATTATCTAGATAACTTATGTGTTCTAATATTTTGTCATGGATTCTATTTTTTCCAGTATTACATCAATTAAAAATAATGACAAGTATATATTATAGTTTATGATCTACAAAATCTCTGTTTTTCTTTCCTTATTGCACTGAATGTAACCTCCAGTACTTTTCTTTTTGATCTCAACCATAAAGGAACTATATCTAAAGTTTATCCATTAGGTATAATGTTTACTGTAGATTTTGTTCACTCTCTTTTTCTGTGTTTTTTTTCCTCTCTCTCTCTCTTTTTCCTTCCTGCCCTCTTTCCCTCCCTCCTTTCTCATGCCAATTTGCCCAAAACAATCCTATTTTATTCTTTTTGTGGCCGACATTTACCGTGTGCAGTATTAATCCTGAACTGAAGTGTAAAAATTTGGGAGATAAATTATATGGTTATTCTGCCTTTTCTTACCATCTTAGTTTGACCAAAGCTTTTATCACAACTAAGTAGTGAACTCTATCAACTGCTTTTTCTGTATGAACTGAGGTAATAATACACTTTTGGAGGTGGGGTCTTACTATGCTGTCCAGGCTGGTGTCAAACTCCTGGCCTCAAGTGATCCTCCCACTTCAGCCTCTTGAGCAGCTGGGATTACAGACATAAGCCACTGTACCCAGCTGATTTCCTGATGTTAAATCATCTTTAAATTTCTGGAATAATTCTACTTTATCATGATATTATTATGATATATGATAATATATCACACTTAAGATTGGGCTGAATATCATTTTATTTATAATTAATTCAGAAATCAAAAGGAATTCTATTTTTCTTTTCTTCTATTTCCTCACTGAAATTTTAAAATGAGTTTATTAAATGTTGTCCTTATTTGGTTTTGAAGTCAAGATTGCACCAGCCTCTTAGAATAAGTTCATTTTTTAGGACAATTTCTTAATAAGAGAAACATTAAAAATTTCTTAAAATTTGGAAGAGTTCTTTTGTAAAACCATCTGGATCTGGGTTTTGGGAGACATAGGAAGAGGGCTTTGGTTGCAGTTTTAACTTGTTTCATACTTGTTTGTATAACTAAGTTCTCTATTGCTTCCTGTGAAATTACAGATATTTGACATTTTTCTATAAACACATCCATTTTATGTAGGTTTCCGAATTTATTTGATATAGCTCTTTGTAATACTTATGATAATCTTTTTAGTCTGTGTTGAGAATATTTTCCCTTTCTATCTTCTACTCTGTGTATTGGCATTTCCTCCTTCTCTTTTTTGTTTTTCCTTGATTATCCTTACCGGATGTCAGCCTAACATACCAACGTTTTCAAAGAATGAGAATCTGCTCTTGTTAATGCTCACTTTTGTTTTTCTATTTCATTTATTTCTACCTCTGTTTTTGTTATTCCAAAGCTTCTCGTTACTCAGGGTTTGCTCTGGTGTACTTTTGGTATTTGTTTTCTCCATGGGAAAGTTCAGGTCATTTTTCAGATCGGTCCATTTGTTCTATCACTCGTGCCTTGTTGGTTAGAGCCTGACTCCCCACCACACACACCAGCAGGTCCGGCAGCCTTTCCTCTAGCCAGGCGTTTCCCACACTTCTTGTTGCTGTTCATTTTATTCTGTTATTATCAGTGCTTGGAATCTTATTGTTTCTTTAGAGAAAATTTGAAGGAAGGAAGTCAGCACTCTGAGCTAATTCACCAACTCGGCAGGAATTAGAAACTAAAAGTAATTTATTTATTTATTATGTTTTAATTTTTCTCTTATTTTTTGTCAACTCATGTAAAAAAAATTACTTCTAATGTTTATATTTAGGTTCAGAGTTTACCATTCTTCCCAGGAAGTTTTTCTCTCATTAACAGAAACATTCCCTCTATTAGGTGATACTAGCCCTATGGAAATGGTAATTATTTACTGTATTTCTTAAAAAAGAGAAGAACACAATTTAAAAGCTATAATGAAACCCAGAGTACTTATTTCCAAATCGCATGTTTTCAAGATAGTACATGCAATACGTAGACCAACTGAAGTGCTTTTTTAGCCCCTGAAAAGTGAGTCTAAATATTGGCCCAAATGTGTGGATTACAGTTCTTTATTTGGTGACCTTATCTCACTACAAGGATCTACCTGCATAAGCTGCTGTAGTTAGTAAAACTACTGTTACATTTACCAAAGAAAGAATTGTTTTGCTTTTCAAATTAGAGCCATCGGCCTATAGAATATACACATCAAGCCGGGCGCGGTGGCTCACGCCTGTAATCCCAGCACTTTGGGAGGCCGAGGCGGGTGGATCACAAGGTCAAGAGATCGAGACCATCCTGGTCAACATGGTGAAACCCCGTGTCTACTAAAAATACAAAAAATTAGCTGGGCATGGTGACGCGTGCCTGTAATCCCAGCTACTCAGGAGGTTGAGGCAGGAGAATTGCCTGAACCCAGGAGGTGGAGGTTGCGGTGAGCCGAGATCGCGCCATTGCACTCCAGCCTGGGTAACAAGAGCCAAACTCCGTCTCAAAAAAAAAAAAAAAAAGAATATACACATCAAATAACAAAAACAGTTTAAATTAGGAAATTTTTAAAAATTGTTTTTAACAGTGGAATTCACCACACATGCCTATATACAAATAAAAACCAAAATATGAAATTTAAATAAAAACAAATAATGAAAAGTAATTTTTGTTTTATATGATGGGTTAATTAAACAAGAATACATCTGAAGAAATTTTGACACAGTAAGTTATTTATGTACACACACTTATTTGATGATTTAAAAGCTCTGATGTTGGAAAATATAGTGCACACCTAAAACTACAGAACCTGGAAAGATAAACAACTTGCTTACCCTGACACAGCTGAAAGTTTTAGGTCTAAGGCTAGATCCCATATCTCGTGTTTTTGTTTTAATTTGTTTTGTTTTAAACTTTGTTTTTTTTTTTTTAACCATGTTTCCAAATGAGATACGCAAAGAGGAGAAAAAGTTGAGTGGGGCCAGAAAAGTGGAACTTAAGAGAAAGGCAAGGAGGAAAGAAAAATATTTTATCTAGAGAACTTCCCCAGAACACATAATGCTGTATTAAAATGGTGTTTATCTTTATGCAAATGTACTCTGATCAAAGGAATGTATCCTCTAGAGTGACGTGCCTGCAAAAACACAGCCTCATTACATGGCTTTACCAAAAGCAAGAGTTAACACTATATTTTTTCATGCACACATAATTTTTAATAGCCAAATACTGTCTATTTTTGTTATAAAATATTTGTTTCTATTTAAAATTAAAAAGCTGAAATAGTTTTGATAGACTATCTTTTCTACAGTTAAATAGTACAAATTTTTGTTTTTTGTTTTGAAAAGTGAGGAGTAACATGTAACTTCACAAAAGAAAACATCTTTTTCATGGATGTATATCTACATCCCACCGCCCTTTTAAAATACAGCAGCTAAGGCTGGGTAGGGTGGGTCATGTCTGTAATCCCAGCACTTTGGGAGGCTGAGGCGGGTGGATGCTTGAGGCCAGGAGTTCAAGACTAGCCTGGCCAACATGGCAAAGCCCAGTCTCTATTAAAAATACAAAAACTTGGCCGGGCGCGGTGGCTCAAGCCTGTAATCCCAGCACTTTGGGAGGTTGAGGTGGGTGGATCATGAGATCAAGAGATCGAGACCATCCTGGTCAACATGGTGAAACCCCGTCTCTACTAAAAATACAAAAAATTAGCTGGGCATGGTGGCGCGTGCCTGTAGTCCCAGCTACTCAGGAGGCTGAGGCAGGAGAATTGCCTGAACCCAGGAGGCGGAGGTTGCGGTGAGCCGAGATCGCGCCATTGCACTCCAGCCTGGGTAAAATGAGTGAAACTCCGTCTCAAAAAAAAAAAAAAAAAATACAAAAACTAGCTGGGTGTGGTGGCATATGCCTATATTCCCAGCTACTTGGGAGACTGAGACACGAGAATCACTTGAACCCAGGGAGGCAGAGGTTGCAGTGAGCCAAGGGCAGGCCACTGAACTCCAGCCTGAGCAACACAGCAAGACCCTCTCCACCCCGCACACAAAAAAAGGTCAACCCCTGAAAACTCATATGTTCACAGACTATGTCTTCCACCTCAATATAACTGAGCTTCAGACCAAGGGCTTCATGAGAAAGAAAAACATTAAAATTTAAAATGTCATGTGGTAATCAAAGAACTGTTCCAAATTTGTCAACATGTCTTACATAAAAGGTCAACAAAATTGCATATAAAGTGACATCTCAGCCCTAAGGATAATGAAATTATATTGGATAGAATAAATGGGTGGAGGGTTAGACAAGGACATATCTAAGTTCCCTTCCATTTCTAAGATTGTATAATTGAGATGTTTTGAACTTACCTAAGTATTTTGGATAAAAATAATCCTAGAAAGAAGAAAAAGAAAACATATCTTAGCAAACATAAATTTCATTATATAATTAAAACTTAATTTTATGTGTTTTTATATTAAAGATGCAAATAAATTACATATAACCATCATTTTCACATTATAATTTTTTATAGAGTAAAATATAACAAAAGAAAACAATAAAATTAAATAAATAAGATACTTAGGCTTAAAGCAATACTGATCAATTAATCATGTTTCAAAAGCTTCTAATCGGAAAACAGGCTCTATTTAAGACGGTAAATATACTCATACATGCCCTCTTTTTGTGTATCCTTTAATTTTTCCATAATGATTAGATCCATTTGAAACACTGTATGTCATAATGATCGCCAACACCACATTCAATGTTGAATCACAGTAACATACTCTTTTTTTCTTTCTGAGACAAGGTTTCTCTGTGTCACCCAGGCTAGAGTGTAGTGGCATGACCATGGCTTACGGTAGCCTCAACTTCCTGGGCTTAAGCGATCCTCCCCTCTCAGTCCCCCACGTAGCTGGAACTACAGGTACATGCCATCATGCATAGCTAATTTTTTGTTGTTGTGAATTATTGTGTTGGAGAAATTAGGTCTCACTATGTTGCCTAGGCTGGTCTCAAACTCCTGGGCTCAAGCGATCCTCCCAACTTAGCCTCCCAAAGTGCTGGGCTAACAGATGTGAGCCAATGTGCCCAGCTAACAGTGACATACTTTGAAGTGAATTAAAGTAGACATTTATCTTGTACGTCTATGTACATGTAATACCTTACTTACAAATTGGTTGTGTACCAAAAGTTTATCTGTAAATCAGCCATTTGGAGTAAAGAATGTGCTTTCTTAAAGGGAGAAAAATGTTTAAAATTTCTGACAGGAAGGTTCTCAGGCTGGACCACAAAAGCATTCTTAAGCCATAATATATCTCGTGTGTACCATTAACAGCACAAGAAACCTCACGACGAACCAGAATCTCTAAACAAAGACATACTCAATGTTACACTTAGTAAGTACCGAACATAAGGTCATCCAGAACTGAGTCAAAGGCCTCATTCTTTCCTCCTCTCACATGTAAACCTACACAATGGATAATGGGATTCAAAGGTGATGCTGTGACTGTCAACGGTGTGTATTAGAGACGTGGAGGCATAAGCAGTAGCGTGGGCACTGGAAACGTGGACTGTAGTATTCGGGATGTGGACAGTGAGTGGTCAGGTAGGGTTGAAAATGACCACACCTGTAATCACGAGAATCCTAACACAGTAACAAATGTTTGGCGGGGGTGGGGCGGGGGCACTGTGGTCACACATGTAATCCTAGCACTTTGGGAGACTAAAGTGTCTCACACACCTGTAGTCTCAGTGACTTACGAGGCTGAGGCGGGAGGAACACCTGAGCCAGGAGGGTCAGGGCTGCAATGAACCATGATCACACCACTGCACTCCAGCCTGGGTGACAGAGCAGGACCCTGTCTCACAAAAAAAAGTAACTTTTTTTTTTTTTCATTTCTTCCCTTTCTGTCTTGCTCTTTCTGTCACTTTTTTGTCTTCTATGAGACCAGTGTTAGAATTCGTGGAAGGGAGGAAGCACAGAAATGAGTTTTCCTTCCTCACTATCTTTCCTCCTCTGCATTGAGGCCTTCTCCCTCACTCCACTTTTGCTGCTAGAGGCTAAGGTGTAAGAATATATCTACGATGTTAGAAATACATTCTCAATATTAATGAGTGATGTACCAATACGGTATCTTGGGCAGATAGGCATGCCTTACAATATTCCAGAATAACAAAATAAAAATTAGAATAGATGGGGTAAAAAAAATAGGTAGAACAAGAATGGCAGAGTGTTGCTCATTACTGAAGGGGTGGAGCAGTTTGTATACTGAAATTTATTATGCTGTTCTCACTACTTTGATAACTATTTAAAATCTATTTAAAATTTCAATAACATTAGAAGGGACCGGGCGCAGTGGCTCATGCCTGTAATTCCAGCACTTTGGAAGGCTGAAGTGAGCAGATCACGAGGTTAGGGGTTTGAGACCAGCTTGACCAACATGGTGAAACCCTGTGACTACTAAAAACACAAAAATTAGCAGGGCATGGTGGCGTGCACCTGTAATCCATTACTCAGGAGGCTGAGGCAGGAGAATCGCTTGAACCTGGGAGGCGCAGGATACAGAGAGCCAGTCGTGCCACTGCACTCCAGCCTGGGTGACAGAGCAAGACTCTGTCTCAAATAATAACAGATGATATCTGCAAATGTGACTTAAAATCTTCCATGTAAGGTAGCAGTAGGCCGGACACAGTGGCTCATGCCTGTAATCTCAGCATTTTGGGAGGCCGAGGCAGACAGATCTTTTAAGCCCAGGAGTTTGAGACCAGCCTGGCCAACATGGCAAAAGCCCGACTCTACTAAAAATACAAAAATTAATCAGGCATGGTGGCACATGCCTGTAATCCCACCTACTCAGGTGGCTGAGGCACAAGAATCTCTTGAACACAGGAGGTGGAGGCTGCAGTGAGCCGAGATCCTCCCACTGCACTCCAGCCTCGGGAATAGAAAGACTCTGTCTCAAGAAATAAAAATAAAAATAAAATGCCAATGGAGAAATTTAATGAAGCATTGTGATAACAATCCAAACTAGCACACACACGCACGCTAATACTTCAGTCTTCCTTTCCCCTCCCCAACACTATCAAATTCTGGTTAGAAGAAAATATTTACAAACCATGAGATCAATATTATTTGCTGATAATGAGGTGTAAATGAACTATAATTTAGTCAGAACAAGCTGTTATCGGTGATCATGTCTGCCAAACAACCCCACTTTCCTTTGAAGGTACTCCCTCCTGAAGTGGAAGTGGTTATATGTGGAAGGTGATACACAAAATTGTTGACTTTAAAATGGAACACAAGGGAGCTCAGGCTGGAAATGTTTAGTCGGCTCTAGTGGCGTGTCCAAATGTGTGGACTTGATAGTTTCCATAGATGCTTACCGTTTCAGGGTCGTTTTCAAAGACCTCCCTGGCTTCTTCTTTATTGCACAGTTCTTCAATGCATTCTCTTTCAAGATTACCCTGTTTGGTTTCTTCAAGCATAGAATTTGCACGACGCTTCCTAATCAGGACTTGTGAAGCCTGTTGCTTTGACAAAACTGAAGGAAAAAAATAAGTTTCTATGAATTAAGCATTTCCCCATTTAAAATATATTGTTTTATTAAACAATAAGAGTTAAAATCGTTTTCTGCCTATGAATTGTATGACATTTAAAATCAGTATGATCGAACTAAGAAAAAAGGCAGATACAGAAGCACTTTGGTTAACAATTCAGAGAGCAGGCTTGCTGTGCAGCTGCAGCACTTGTATAAAGGTCTACACAAATGATCCAAGTTTACACTTGAGCATAACACACCAGATAATATTCAATGTTTCCTTCATCATGACTACATTGGAGAAAACATGCTGAGGCCAGGCTTGATGGCTCATCTTTGCAATTCCAGCAATTTGGGGGGCTGAGGCCAGAAGACCACCTGAACCCAGGAATTCAAACCCAGTCTGGGCAATAGAGCGAGACCCCATTTCTACAAAAAATTATATATATATAATTTTTTATATATAGATAATATATATACACAATTTATATATAGATAACATATTAAATTATATATTATAAAATTATATATAATTTTTATAAATTATATGTATAAATATATATATATATTTTATATATATATATATATTTTTTTTTTCTTTTTTTTCCGAGACAGAGTCTTGCTCTGTCACCCAGGCTGGAGTGCAGTGCATGATCTCAGCTTACCGCAACCTCCGTCTCCCAGATGCAAGTGATTCTCCTGCTTCAGCCTCCTGAGTAGCTGGGATTATAGGAGTGCGCCACCACATAAAAAAAAAACTTTAATTGGGCATGGTGTGTGCACCTGTAGTCTTTGCTACCTGGGAGGCTAAGGCGGGAGTGCTGCTTGAGCTAAGGAGTCCAAGGTTACAGTGAGCTGTGATCATACCACCTCACCCCAGCCAGTAAGACCCTCACTCTAAAAAACAAAAAAATCCAAAAAAAAGAGAAAAAACATGATGAAATGTCTATGTCAAAAGCCACAGTCCTAGCCAGGCCTGGTGGCATGTGCCTATAATCCCCCTATTCAGGAAACTGAGGCAAAAGAATCTTTTGGACCAGGAATCCAGAGGTTGCAGTGAGCTGAGATTGCGTCACCACACTGCAGCCTGGGCGATAGAACAAGACTCTATCAAAAAAAAAAAAAAAAAAAAAAAAAAAAGAAGCCATACCATCTTTAAAGCCAAAGTAGTAACTTTCTCGTTTTTAATGAAAAACTTTTGTGATCTCTGTGGAGATACAGAAATATAGGAGTACAGCTCAGTCAGCTGTTTGAGAGATACTTGATAGACTAACACATTTGGATATTCACAGAAACAGGAAAATAAAAATCCATAGAAAGAGAAAATTTTATGCAAAGCACAAAATACAGAAGGCAGAGAGAAAAAATTGATAACTTTGACTTCATAAAAATGTTTAAACAGTTGAACAGCAACAACAAAAATAACAAAGTTCAATATCAAGCAAAGACTGGAAGAAAATACTTAACAGTATATAGAATAGAAAAAATAGCACCCAGATAAGCTGACCAATACAGAAATGCTTTTTATTTATGGTTGTATATAAAACAACTTTTAAAATATAAACAAAACAAACTATAAAGAAAACAATACAAACAATCATACAAACCATCACTATAGAGAAAAAAAGGGCATAAATATAATAAAATGTTCAAATAAAACTATTTTAAGAATTATATTTTTGTATATTAGACTGGCAAAACTTTAAAACACTGATAATATCGATTATTGGTGAGAGTAAGGGAAACGTGTGTTCTTGTACACTGGTAGTGGGGCATAAACTGGCAGGTTTTATTTGAAGTTAATTTGGTAAAATTTAAAGTACATACGCTCTTCAACTCAATGACTCTGCTTCTAAGTATGTCCTACATATAGGCCCATGTGCTAGAAAAAATAGAATTATTTATTGAGACACTGTTTGTGAGATCAAAAAATTTTAAATGACTTAAATATTTATCAACAAGAGCACAGGAGCAGGCATGGTGGCTCATGCCTGTAATCCTAGCAGTTTGTGAGGCCGAGGCAGGAGGATCACTTGAGCCTGTGGGGTTCAAAGGCTACAGCGGCTATGATCACACCACTGGACTCCAGCCTGCATGACAGAGCAAGACCCTGACTTAAAAAAAAAAAAAAAAGACTGCCGGGCGCGGTGGCTCACGCCTGTAATCCCAGCACTTTGGGAGGCCAAGGCGGGTGGATCACGAGGTCAAGAGATCAAGACCATCCTGGTGAACATGGTGAAACCCCGTCTCTACTAAAAATACAAAACATTAGCTGGGCATGGTGGCGCGTGCCTGTAATCCCAGCTACTCAGGAAGCTGAGGCAGGAGAATTGCCTGAACCCAGGAGGCAGAGGTTGCCATGAGCCGAGATCGCGCCATTGCACTCCAGCCTGGGCAACAAGAGCGAAACTCCGTCTCAAAAAAAAAAAAAAGAAAAAAGAAAGGACTTGCCAAAGCAGAAGTTTAAATGTAATGTCTAAACAAATAAATTGTTTGGGTTAGATTTATAACCCTATCTCTTGCTATCTTTATCATGTTCATTAAAGTAGAAATTAAATAAAGGCAGTATGTATATAAAAGATGGCACTTTGTGATCGTCTATCCGCCAAGTGTGTTATTGACTGATCAAGGACAGTCCTGTCAACAATGAAAGAGCCATACTTGGGCAATTATCTCATTTATTTTAAGTAGTTTTATGCATGCTACTTAGTTACAAATACAGCACAAATTTGGACTTTTTGAACTTCACAGCAAATATGTGATTCTTTCTGGGGAAAACAACACTTTCATTGAAGGGTGAATACAATTGATTGAATTTTTTGAAAGAAGGCTAAATGCACTTAGGGAAAAAAGCACCATAAATATTCACCTCTTGGCCTTTTTTCCTTACAGAATACTAACTTTTGGAATTGGGAGTTTGATAGTGATTTTTAAGAACATCTCCTTCTCCATATGGGTCTCCACTAAAGGATACACGCCAAATGTAATAACACTTACTGTATCATGCTTGTGAAAGCAAAGGTCTAAATCACCCAGGGATAGTCAAAGTTTTCGAGTTCTTAGAAATGCCCACTTAAGTTTATAAAAGTAAACATAGAAAACTTTATTATTTAAGAGAGGATAAAACTCAGATAAAGAGTATGCAACATATTTTCCCATAATTGTAAATAAACAACAAAACTACAGCTAGATCATAGGCATTCCAACTCTCAGACCTGCAATCCATTAATCATTGTTTGCAGCTTTTCAAAAATCAGGAAGTTTTATTGTCTCTATTGTTGAGAGAAACATTAGAAAATAAACTGCTAGGCTGGGCACAGTGGCTCACACCTGCAATCCCAGAGCTTTGGGATCTCTTGATTACGAGGTCAAGAGATTGAGACCATCCTGGAAAACATGGTAAAGCCCCATCTTTACTAAAATTACAAAAATTAGCTGGATGTGGTGGCGCACGCCTGTAGTCCCAGCTACTCAGGAGGCTGAGGCAGGAGATCGCTTGAACCCAGTAAGCAGAGGTTGCAGTGAGCCAAGATTGCACCACTGCACTCCAGCCTGGTGACAGAGCGAGACTCCATCTCGAAACAAATTAAATAAATAATAAAAATTAATAAATAAGAACTGTTATACCTCTGTCTTAAGAGGAAATTAAGCTAACACAAAATTTTGTCTAAATATATTTGCACCAAATTTGGATTTCATCTAGTTCAGCCCAACAATGCTTTAAATTGGTGTGATACATAATTATGTTCAAAGCGTGAATTAATTCTTTCACTTGATATTCACACAATGAAATAAACTATAAGACAGAATTATCATCCCTATTTTCCTATTGAAGAAATTGAAGTTGAGAGAGAGTGACATGATTTGCTACAAGTTGTGCTAATGGGATTCAAATATACCCATCTTGTTAGCCCCGTGCTCCTTTCTTCTGTGTATTCTGCTACTCAAATGTCTATGATGGACCTGATTTAATTATTTTCATTTTACATATTTTTATTTGGAAGTGTATTTATCAGTACAGTGAAACTAAATTATCAGTACAGTGAAACTAAATTATAGAGACACTGTCATTAGTTTAGCTATAATTACTTTATTATAAATGAAAGACATGGTAATTAATATATGATGTAAGATTTTAGAACTTCAGTGGAATGGGCAGCTTCACGTTGATGCCATTTCAACAGTGAATTATTTCAGTCTGCCTACTTTCCAAGAAGGTCACCATCTCTAGAACTACTTTGGTGCCTCCATAATCTGAGAGAAGACCTTAACTCCAACTTTCACACTGACTTCTTGAATCCCTTTCCTTTAGGGCCCAATCCAACAGCAACTACCATTTGCTTTCAATACTTTTCCTGAGAAGTTTCTGGAAGCATGATGCCTTCTTTGGTTGCGGTTTTGGCTGCACTTCTTTCAACCAAACAATACTCGGTCAAAGAACAGAAGACGCATTCCACGTGTTTGTTCTCCCGCAACTCCCGCTGCCACAGCTCATACTCTGCTCTTGCACAACTGCCAAGAGCTGATTTTAATTTTTGTAAAAGTAATTATGTGGTCGTGCAGTGGATAAGGTTGCTGTCTTAAATAATCAGCTGTCCTTTACAAAATAAACCCATCCATCTAAGAAAATGGCTTTCGAAACAGTCTACTGCTTCTTGCCAGAAAGATACAAACAGGACTTCATGACCCAACTTAACACTGCAGGACTGTGGGATGAGACAAGCGTGGGGTTTGAAGTGCTTTCACCAGTTGGCTCAAAGCCCTTCTGCCCAAAAACATTCACCCCACTGACATGCAGGGAATATCTAAAAAGTTCCATTATTTACCGTAATAACCATGACATATAAGTATATAAATGCTGTCTTACATTATGTCCTTTAATCCTAATCATAACCATTCTAAGTAGGTTGAAATTTTCCATCTTATATACACGAATAAGCTTAAACTTAGAGTTGAGTTAATTTTACCAAGTTCCCACCGCTGAGAACACAGACAACCAGCAT